ATTGTTTAAAAACATTTGCACGAACTAACGATTAAAAATAGGACACATTTAACTTAGGCCATTGTTTTGAAATTAGATGAGAAGCTTTCGGCCTAATATCAATATAGGTGTGGTTATAAATGCTAATTTTTAATGGTAATGATCGTTGTACATCATAAAGATCGCTCTTTACTCGTCAAATATATATATAAATATATATAGCATGTGAATGGGATTCTATTACACAATTTATCCTTAATCTCAAATGAACTTAAGTCACGAAAATTATGTTAAAAGATTGTTATTTTCAGTAAGTGTAAATGAGATATGAAGCTTATACATCTATTACTTATATTTAAGAGAAAAATATATATATAAATTTATATTTAAATGTTTTACTATATTTAATGCGCTTATTTTATTGTACTTTTTGGTATTTTTTTAACTTTGTTCTGATTTTTTCGCCTTTTTAAGAGTCATAGCTGCAATATTCCTTATATCTCTGGTAATCTGTAAAACTCTAGTACAATATAAATATTGTAATCTGATATAAACTAAACATCTTTGATAATATGTAATACACAATATATTCGTGATCATCTGTGATAAACAGTACATACATGATAATCTATGGTATGCATTATATTCTGATGATCTATGGTAAAGCTCATTCCTGATAATCTCTGCATTCCTGATTACTCTGTAGTAAATAATATCTTGTATTGCTGATAATCTATGATAATTTTTTCATTCCTAATAAACTATGGCAATCTCTTTGTATATTTTATATCTTTGATGATTTGTTGTGAACTATATTTCCAGTAATTTATTGTAAATTATACATCTGTATCAAACATTTTTAAAAAGATTTATTGATTATTCGTCTATGCTAAGAAAGTTTTACTAGGACATTGCTAAAACTAATAAAGGAAATATTTGTTATGCATAATTTATAAATTTGTCATAAATATTATAGCAGAAATATTTATATATAAAATTATCTTGCAAAAGCTTCTTTTTTATTGTAAATTAAATGGTAATAAATTCAAAGATGTCCTTGAAGATCTCAAACTTTTAAATATATTAATTGATTATATCTTGACAATAATATAAAAATATGCTATTTATCTAATTATAAATATAAATAGTGATATTAAATAGAACAGGTTCTTTTGTATAAACTCAATTAATAAAATATTTTTACAGGCTAATTTAAATTTTGATTTATTTGTAGTTTATTAAAAATTTATTAACATTTAATGTAATGATTTAAAAAATAATTGACGTGGATGTATATCGATAAAGTTTTCTTTGATTATTATATTTTGTATGATTCCAGTAAAATACAATTGTCAGTATCGATAAACGACGCCATCTTAGCAAAGGAGCGACGCGTGACGCGGCACGCAAACAATCTCGCTTCTAATACTGATAACTTTTTTTAAAAAAATTTGCATTAAAAATACATATTTAAGAAATTTACATATCTAACAGAAATAAATGATAATTATATGAAACCTTAAACATTCTGAATTTATAACATAATTGCGCCGCGAAACGAAGCGATATTCGCAAAAGCCGCGCGAACATCCCATCGTTTCCATCTTCAATATCTTTATCAAAGCAACATTAATGCGATATAATTTTGAATTTTTTTCCAATATAAATGCCTAACATTAAGGGATAGTTTTCGCCAATAAAAGGATCCAAAATTAGAAGTAAAGCTATAAAAATGAGGGATTTAATAGATAGTGTGATGACTATAGGAGGCAGACTTTCTATCATTATTAAAGTTTCCGTTTCCATATATCATAGAAGTGATAGCATTCCAGATAGATGCATCTAAAAGCAGCACGCAAAGGGGATATTGCGTGCAAGGGATAGGGAGCCCAAAAAGGAGGAGAAATAGGTAAAAATGACACGACTGTCGATGGAGCCAGCTGCCGTTTTGAAGTCTTCTAACTGCCAAATTAACAATGCACGCAAACAATTTATTCAGTCATGCAATCATCTCATTTACTATGACAAGCCAACATTGATTATGTCCCAATCAAAATCCCTTAAAGAAACAAGAAACTTTACAATATATCTATACACATAAATATATTTTATAAAAATGTTCTTTCAAATCAATCCTGAGATATGAGATTATAAATTGAGGTTTTAGAAAATACTTTAAGTTACTATCCTTCATCAGGATAAAAATATATTTGTGGGTCTTCGAGTATCTATTTTCACAAATACTGTGTTCCATATTCCATTTTTTTTTAATGTTAATCTCTTCATCATTTTTTACTCTCACTTCACTTAATCCTGAATGATAAATCCTGATAACAATAGTTGCAGTTATAAGGATGTAAATTGGTATTNTTTGTTTTTAAAAAAAAGCGCTTGATAAACTTGCCCCGCATGCCGAAGTTGCCCCGGTCTCCCCTATATATACTTTTAAAACAAACAAATGTAAAGTATACGTGAGGAAAAGAAACAATCGAAAGAAGATAAAATCTGATTCACAGAAACGACGAAGGTGAAGTTCAGTCAGAGAAAGTCTATATCCATTCCGGATCGATGAAACAGATTATATAAATGCCAAGTAGGAACCTATGAACCGGAGAAAGAAAAACAGGTTTGTAGAGAGGAGCAACGATTATGTCTAGAAACCATTGAAAATGACAGATAATTTCTAAGTAGATAATCTTTAACAATACATGAGACTATAGTTTATTAAATGGATTGGTCTAAGGGCAATTCAATAATATTTTCTCCTCGAAATAAGGAAGCATTATACGGAAGCAGATGTTTCTGATTTTGTCTTATTAAGTTTAATTTGAACAATTTTTTATACATTTATTAATGCTGAATATTGAAACTGCTAATTTAATAATTTCTCGATGTCAAAGTTATCTGATGATCTAAATATGTTAACTGGCGCGACTTGCGCGTGGTCGCGTCGCTTTGCGCTTCTAGTATGTGGATCGTAAGTTTATCAAAATTCTTCAATTATCGTCCATAATATCAAAATTATTCAATAATTTTCACTATAAACTTATAGATATTTTAATACATTGAGTATATTGATGAAATTAATTAAATAATTATATTTGCAAACCTTTTATGCGAGTGAAGTGATGCGCCGATCGCTTTCAACGCGTCGCTAACCTTCTTCTAAAGCGATTATACGGTATAATATATATATAGAAAATGCATACGGATCATTTTTCATTTTTATTCTATTTATTTATATTTTGAATAAGAAAATGCCTGGAATCTACAACATTTTCTAGCTCCAGCGATGCGTTGCATCTCATCGCGCATTCCAGTTATACGCTGCGATCTTATTTTAATGATCTAATGCTTTAATTGTAATTAATAATATATCTTAATGAAAATTAAGAAAATTTTTATACTTTATAACATTTTCCAGGAGTTAAATTTATATATATGACGCAATATCGCTTGGATTTAAAACATTTTCGTACTTTTTAACCAATAAAAAGGGCATTTTAATGGCAATACCTAAAAGTATTGCATGCCACATTTGTAATGATTAATCTAACAACAAGGAAAAATTATTATTTTTTTAATACTAGGAATTCAAGCTTCACTTATAACACTTTAATGATAAATTTAAATAATACATTCCCTGTAATTTACTACGAAAATGTTACACTACAAGTTGCAGTATTAAACACCCGAAGAGTTGAAAACTTCCGATCGGGTTATAATCTACTCGAACAGGTTTTGTAATTACGAAATATCAATTTTTCTTCTACTAAATCTAATTATAATAATACGTCACTTAACATTAACAAAAGTATCGATTTGCTTGAACAGTTCAAGCATCCAATGCTTGAACTGTTCAAGCAAATCGATGAACGAATTTCGAGTAACGTAGATTTTATATTTTATTGTTTATTTAATCATAAACCAGTTTAGGTTATAATCTACTCGAACAGGTTTTGTAATTACGAAATATCAATTTTTCTTCTACTAAATCTAATTATAATAATACGTCACTTAACATTAACAAAAGTATCGATTTGCTTGAACAGTTCAAGCATCCAATGCTTGAACTGTTCAAGCAAATCGATGAACGAATTTCGAGTAACGTAGATTTTATATTTTATTGTTTATTTAATCATAAACCAGTTTAGGAACACAAACCTTTAAATATATATATTTATTATTATTTTTTTTTAATTTTAAATATTATATTTATCCACTTTAAGTATTAAATATCAAGACCAGATTTGATTTAACTGAGCATAAAATCTCTATAAGTCACCACTAAAACTGGATTTTTTTTTAATATAAAAATATAAAATATTAAATAAATACATATATACATATATATATAACCGTTTTATAAGATTTTTAGAGCTTAAAAAATTAAAATTTTTATCAAAATATTTGTATTATTTTTTTAATAATTGAGCTATTTTATAAGGAATTTAATTAAATTAATTTTTGCAGAAAAATCTGAAAAATTATGGCTTTAGTCTATCTTTAAATAAATAAAAGAAAGAGAAAAGTAAATAGAAAAAAAATTCTCCAAGGTCAAAGGAGCTTAATTCTTTGCGTGCTTTAGAATTATATCCATTGATATACATTTATTTCTTGCAAAGTTATTAATAACTTGATGTTATTCTTTGCATAGATAAAGGTGATTCATAAAGCTAATATATAAATTTTTTTTTTCTAAAAACTTTTTTATATAAACATTTAACTAAAAATATTAAAATTAACCCATTCACTAATAAGGAAAAATTCATAAAAATACCTTAACATTATTCAATCAAGGAAATGCAAAGATTTCCACATGTAATTAAAGTAAAATCGGTAATTGAAAGCAAGTTTTTGTTTTACTGAATTAAAATTTAATGTTTATAAACTTTAAAAAAGCGTAAAACTATTTTTATTGGTGTTAAAAAATAACCTTTAAAGTAATAAAATATGACGAGTGAGCGTTAAAATTGACGAGGTTTTTAATGTTAAAACTTCGAAGTAAATCTGTTACTTACATCATGGAAATCGGACATGTCCGCAGAGGGTGCACCAGTACGATATCCAGTACCAATTTGGTCCCCAGTTTGGGGTAAAAGTACAGCTGTGCTAATTGACATAAATGAAGGACGGAAGATAAAAATCCAAAAAATTTTGGAGGAAGAATTTTGCTCAGAATAACTCGAACGGTTGACTTCACACGATATACACAAAAGTAAGATATCCCATACACAGCACAGGCCACCTGTTCCGTTCTACCTTCTCGCACCTGTCTAACTGTCTAACGTACCTTCTTATCACCTGGTTTCGTCCTGGTACCTCACACGTCATGCCCTCTAGTGGACGAATTTGGAAGTTAACCCGATGCATATGTTGACGAATGAATTCTGAAGTCGACTCTAACTTGTAAGCTTAAAAACCGATTCGGATTTTTGACGTTAATTAAATATTTAATTTGAAATTTTAATAAAAAAAATGTCCGAAACTAAAGAAAACATTGTTAATTCAAATTAAGACAGATTTTTTATATTTTTTTAATAAAAGTAATCCTGTTTAATTGACTTGTTTAAGGGACTTTTGTGTTAAGGATTTGGTATGGAATCTTTTCTAGTTTTATGTTTATTTGAAAGGATAATAATAAAATAAAGATTATTCTTAATGATGTAATTTTTTGAAAATGAAACACTTTCCTTATTTAGAAAATTTTTAAATATATGAAATATATTTTAAAAACAATGAAAGTTGTATGGAGGAAAGTGGAGAAAGAAAACAATATGCCGTGTTTATTAAAAAATAAAAATATATATTCTTATTTTAACTTATTAATAATTTTAAAAATATATTTGTAAGACGATTTTTTTTAACATTATTAAAAAGGATTGTAATTTTTTATTAATTTAAAAGTATAACAATAGTCACTTTTTAACAACGGCCACCTCAAAACTGCGGCCGTTTTATTAGGAACTTTTCCCTCTAAAAAAATTCATGCAAAATAACCTGTAAACAAAGGCCACCTCCGAACAACGGCTATTTTTTTTTAAATTCTTTTCAATAGCTGTTGTTCAAAGGTTGACTGTGTAAAGTTATTATGCCTATTAATTTATAAAATTAAGTTGTTTAAACCCTAAAAATATTTAAAAATTTTATTTTAAAATCTTATTTTTTAAAATAATTTCAAAAATACTTTTTATACATAATAAAATCTATATTTTTCTGCTTGGTTTTATAAAAAAATAAATTTTTTAATATAAAATTTCGATTAAACTTTCAATTTTTTCTTGTAAAATTGATTTAAAATGTATCAAAATGGAATTTATTTAAAATTTTTTAGAGAAATAAATAAATAAAAATTGTAATTCAGTATAATAAAAAGTTTTATATTGTATATAAAACAAAGATTATTTATTTATTTATTTAGTATTTTCAGAAGGGATTTAGTGGAAAAATCTTTGAAAAATGCCCATAAAACTTTAAAAATTATAAAATACTTTTATAAAATAAATATTTTAAACTATAAAGCCCAACAGAGCATCAAAAAATGGGCTTAGAAGACCGTTTTTTTTCATCTCTTATTGTTATAGAAAACAATAAGAGATCAAAAAATAATTTTAAATAATAAATAAAAATAATTAAATTATAAAGAATAGAAATGAAAAAAACTTTTCCTAATAAACTTATTAAAGAATAAAAAAAAATTAAAAAATAAATTTAAATAAAGAGAGGAAAGTTGAACTAATTACTTGCATTTGAATGTAGAAGAAATTCGTTTTTAGAAGAATAAGAATAAAAAATAAAAAATAAACGAATTCTCTTACGTAATGAAAGCAAATTATATATATATATATATATACACGTATATAAAAATAAGCAATAAAACATGCACGTGGCACTTTAAATAGAAAATTCATTCGTGTTCGACGTTTCTAAAAATACAAATAAATTCTACAACACGTGAAAGAATTAACTCGAAATAAACCCTTAAAAAAAGAACTCGTTTCTACTTCTACTTTAATTATTATGCAGTAAAATATAAACAAATATATAAAAAAATTAGCATAAAACTTGAAAAGTATTTTTAAAAAAACTCGACTTTTACTTTATGTTCAGTAGTCGTTGAATGATTTGAATGAAGTAATCAGAGCGTTCAGTTACTGACCTCATCAACATAACTTAATAATATTGTCCCGAAAACGAAAAATGGTCAGTGTTATCTCTATAGAGTATACAGATAACTTTTACTTTAATAAGGTTAAGTATGATAATTAAAACAATTATCTATTCTTAATAAAGAAACGAGGACATGATAGAATTTCACTTTTAACCACAATTTATCCTCCCCCTTATATTTTTTTTTCACTGTACAATTTGTATAGCTAAATATGGAATTTCTTTAAGGATATATATATTGATAGAACATATAAGGGAATTTATTATAATTCTTATTGTTTAAATATAATTTATTATTTTATTAATATAATAGTTCAGTAGAACAGTTTAGTAATAAATATAACGGGTTATGTTAAAATATTAACATTTATAAGTAGGATAATCATTGGTAGGTCAGTTAATAAACTTAACTCCGAAATTTTTATGTTGTGCAATGTTTAAATTCGTGATAAAGTATAGGGGTATATACATATAAATATGCTTAGATTCGTGTTATTATATAACTTACAATTAGGCCTATGTTTAAGCTTATATAACTATGTTTAAACTTTGGTAAGTAACCTCTAAAATTGTCTTTAAATCTGTGATAATTAACCCCTATAACTATGTTTAAATGTGTAATAATTAAACCCCATAATTATATAAATTTATTTAAACTCGTGATAATTAACTATCATAATCGTGATTAAATTCGTGTTAAGTAACCCCCTGAAACTATAGTAAAAATCGTGATAATTAGACCCCTATAACTTTGTATGCATGATAATTAACCTCTATAACTATATTTAAATTCCGATAAGTCACTTTTTACTTATGTTTTATGGTATGCATAATATATTTCATCCTATTTTAAGTTAATTTAAATAAAGTTATTAAAAAAAGAACTTGTATATAAGAAATTATATACCTTCTAGCAAGCTCGTTAACTTTAGTAAAAGAATATATTTATATTTATATATATTTTAAATTGTATTCTGTTTCGTCAGAACATTATAGTAAATGGAGCAGAACACAGATATTAAGTTTAATTTGGTTACATTATATTATCTTTGACTCTATTGGGCATCTACATGGCCTCCAGATATTATATATATTTTTTGACCACGATAATTTGGACCAACAATCAGACAATCGAATTATTTCCGGTTATTTTGAATGCTGGACATTAAAAAATTCTGAAAACTTATTCATTAATATTCAATTTTTTTTAATGTGATTTATTTATCGTTAATGCTGTAAATTATATATATTTAGTAGGAAAGAGTTACGATAGCAATTTTTTTTTCTGATAATTTCGTTCTAAAAATTGCCTTTTTATATATTTATTTTTGTAAATTTTTTGAATTTTTCCGACGTTTCAATCGATATTTTTCTTAAAATGCTACGGTAGATTCAATTATAACTGTAAACTGAAGCTCTAAATAACTTAAATATATTTTATTAATTTTAATTAATTAGTTGACTTTTTTACACTTTAAAATACTTACAATTCTATGTACCAATTAATAAGTGCGCTATTTTTTATGATAATTTAACTAATTAATCGATTTTCTCGAGTTTATTCTAAATTATTATCTAAATATGGCTCTATACACAGGTATAACAAGGTGTGCATTAACAGGCGCAACCTTCTCTAAATAATATTTCGAGTATTAACAATCGTACAATCTAGTAATTATTCTTGAATATAGGTCTAGATATTGTTAACAAGTTATAAAAAATTCTTTAATAACCCGCTAAACATTATTTTTTTATTTTTTTATTTTTACGCATTCAATATTTATCGGAGCGCCAATTCTACCCTGTTATACAAGAGTTATAATTGCAAAATTATATGAAAGAACCGCTTCTAATTATAATTACAGTATATAGAATTGTCCAAGGTCAGTGTCAACTTATACAAATCTTTTTGTATAAAGTAATTATAATCAAAAATAACCGTTAATAGGAGACAGTTATACAACATTTGTACGAGTTTTCTATTGTAAATAATAACTAAAACTTGATCTCCAAGGTTCAGTAACGTGAGAAAATCCAACATTTTCCGATATTGTCCTTCGCATTTTTCCAAAAAATGCGAAAGAGATAATATAGATCACACAGGAAGTATATACAACGCATGACCGGAAATGATTTAGAGATGACATTTAGCAAGTGCATGACCATGAGATCGCGTGGTTTTTGTTAGATATTTATTTTAAAAAATTACAAATAAAATAAAATAAAATAAAATAAAACTTCAACGAAATGATAAAGATTGAATGGAAACAAGCAAGTAAATTTTATGTGCTTGTCAATATATATATGTATATATAAAAAAACGAAACAAGAAATAAAGTTGTTTGCTAATCGTGAATAAAATAGCAGAATAAGAACTATCTAACTATTCACATCACGCAAGAAATAGCTATCAACAATAAAATACATCTACAACTAAGAATAATCGTGTGGAGAATATCAATTACTCATTAAACAATTTATTATACGAAAAACAATGTTAACTTATGAAATTTTTATATTATTTCGTTCAGAAATTGATATTTTACTTTATAAAATATTTAAAATACTATTCAGTATATAAATTCATAACATACATCAGAGTATAAAGCGCTACATAACGTAGTCAGAAAGTATAAAATATTATTAAATCTTGCTTGAAATCCGATGATATTTCGTGCTATTTTTTAAGTATATAATTAATTATAATTAATTTAAATGTCGTGAAAATAATTACCAAAGATGCTAGTTACGTAGAAGTGCGAGTTATGCGAGCTGTGGGTGCGAACAATTTTGTCAATATGAAAATAAAGCCTTTGTCACCACACCATGTAACAATGACAGGCAATTTGTTAACTGTTTTCTCATTAAATAGTCAACTGCCTGGGGAAGTGGGTCGATAAGTTTAGATCTAGTGGCTCTAGGGTGATAGATACTATCCTAGTTAATCTGATAAACGGTTACATTCTTAATTTTAATAGAAACATAACTAAATTTACGTATAAAAACAAGTTGATTCTTTACCACTACTGATTAATAAGTATAAGAGTAAGTAAACAGCGCGGTCAGTTTTTTAGATTCTTTTCGTTCTGTTAGATCATGTGATACATCAAAAAAAATTA